TGATGGCCTGAATTTTCTCGGGGTTGGCCTCGATACCCCTTCGGCTCACCATGTAGCCCAAGAATTTTCCGCCTTGTACGCCGAAGGTGCATTGTTTTGGATTCAACCGGAGGTTGAATTTTTGCATGATGGTGAAGATTTCCTGGAGGTCCTCGGCGTGAGTGCCTGCCTTCTTGCTTTTGACGATCATGTCGTCAACATAGGCCTCCATAGTGCGCCCCAAGACGGCTTGAAAGACTCTGGCCACCATTCGGGTGTAGGTGGCGCCTGAATTCTTGAGGCCGAAGGCCATCACAAATAACAGAAGATGCCTTCGGGGGTCATGAAGGCAGTTTTTTCAGCGTCTTCCTCATGCATGTAGATTTGATGATATCCGCGGAACGCGTCGAGGAATGACATAATCTCGCATCCCGCGGTCTCATCCACAAGTTGATCAATGTTCGGCAGAGGGAAGGGGTCCATAGGGCACGCCTTATTCAGATCTGTGTAGTCTACGCACATGCGGAAGGTAGGAGGCTTCTGTGCGAGGACTACGTTTGCCAACCAAGAAGGGTATTTCACCTCCTTAATGTGTTTGATGGAGAGGAGCATAGATATCTCCTTCTTCACGAACTCCCTTCTCTCGGCCGAGAGGGGTCTTCTTCGCTGTTGCACTGGTTTGGCCGAAGGGTCTACCGCTAGGCGGTGGGTGATAACCCTTCGGTCAATCCCTGGCATATCCTCCGGCCCCCATGCAAAAACAATGGAGTAGGCGCGGAGGGCGTCGGTGATGTCAGCCTTTAGGTCTTCGGGGAGCTTGGCTCCAATCTTCAGGACTCTCTCCGGCTTGGCCGGATCGAGTATCAAGTCTTCGGTCTCCTCGGCAGGCTCAGCCCTCGGCCTACCTTCTTCCTCCTCCAAGGCCTTGGTGGTGATGGTGTCTATACGTAACTCTGTTTTACTAACCTTCTTGGTAAGTTGAAGGTAGCAGGCCCTGGAGAGCTTTTGATTCCCCCTCGAATAGCCGATGCCGGTGGGTGTGGGGAATTTGAGGCAGAGGTGTCTCATGGAGATGACGGCTTCTAAGTCCTCGAGGGCAGGCCGGCCGAGGATGATGTTGTGTGCGCAGTCGAGGTTGACGACGACGAATTCCACTTCGAGCTTGGCTCTATGGGACCCGTCGCCGAACTCAACCACGAGGATGATGACGCCTTCGGCGTCTATGCTATCCCCCGTAAATCCGGAGAGGGGGGTGTTGATGTGCCGAAGGGACCCCCTATCGAGTCCCAACTCTTGGAAAGTGCTGAGATACATGACGTTGACAGAACTCCCCGTGTCGACGTAAGTCCGGTGGATGATGGCGTCGTTGATCTCAGTGCGGATGACGAGGGCATCCCTGTGCGGCAGAGAACCCGAGGGGAGGTCCGCATCCGTGAAGAAGATTGGATCCTCCCTCGGCCTTTTAGTTGGGGGCATGTGATTGACTTCCCCAACGTAAAGGGACTGTGCCCACTTCTTCCTTTGGCTTATTGAATCGCCTCCGGTGTTGCCGCCGTTGATCATATGAATATGGCGTTTGTATTGTTGATGGGAGCCTTCTCCCTCGTCATCGAGGCCCCCAATTTCGCGCTTCTTCCCCTGTGGGTTCCCCAAGGGGATGGTGTTGGGGTTTACCCATTTATTTGCCTTCGGCGGAGGCCCTTGATGATGAAGGAGGCTCTGGGGAGGAGGGCCCCTGATAAATTGAGACAAGTGGCCCGCCTGTATCAGCCTCTCAATTGCGTTTTTCAGTTGATGGCAGTCGTCGGTTTTGTGCCCATGGTGACGGTGAAAGCGGCAATATGGCTCATCAGGGCCGATAGCATAGATCTCGAGGGGTGTACGGGAGTCTCGCTCAACGAGCCCCCGTTCTTCTGCATGATCAAGAATGACGCTGACGGGATGCGTCAAGGGAGTGCGTGGGTGCTCAAGGAGGACGGGTTGCGCCCATGCCTTCGGGTTGTTTTTGTAACCGCCCCCGGTTCTGGCTTGGCCACCTCGGGGGCGATCATTATATTGAGCCTCGCAGTGGGCCGGAGGGGGAGGTCCTCCGGGCCGATTCCTGCCCTCATTCTTCTGAGAAGGATCCGTGTTGCGGCGGTCCTTCTCGATCTCCTCCGCTTCGGCATATCGGTCCCCCCGCTGAAGGGCCTTTGTATAATCGCGCGGGGATCAGTGATAAGGCTCCGGGAAAAGTTACCGTTGCGGAGGACGGTGTGGAAGAGGGCCATTAGGGTCCTGTCATCGGCGCCCTCGACCTCGAGGGAGGCCTGCCGCCAGCGTTCCAGGAAATTCCGAAGGGTTTCCTCCTTCTGTTGTCTCACGTTTAGGAGGTGGGAGAAGTGCTTCTTTGAGCGATGCCTCCCAGCAAATTGCGTAAGGAAGCGGTGGGCAAGTTCTTGCCAAGAATCAATGCTGCCTTCGGGCAACCGGTTGAACCACTCATACGCGGGTCCCTCCAAGGTGGAAAGGAACCAACGGCATAAGTATTCATCCGAGGCCCCCATCATCATCATGCTGTTTTGATAGCGGCTATAGTGTTCTTGGGGATCCGTCTTCCCCTCATACGGCTTGATGGGTTGCCCCCGGTATTTATGGGGGATTTTGGCCGCCAACACCCTTGGGGTGAAGGGTGTTCTAGTGCGGAGTTGAATGAGGGGCTCGCCTGAGCCTTCGGCGAGCTTACGCTTCATTTCCTCCACTTGCGCCCGGAGGTCAGCGTACTCTGGATCTGGCCTTGCTGTGGAAGCCGTCGGGAGTGCCTGACGATTCTCCTCGAGTTGACGGAGGAGGGCCTCAATGATTTCGTCCTTGGGATCCTTCGGGGCAACCCCTTGGGAGTTGGCCCGGAAGGATTGCGCCTGTGTGATCTGGTGCCTCGCGTCATCGGCATGGAGGAGGGCTTTGCCTTTGCTTCGGGGGGGGGGGGGGGGGGGGGGGAGGCACGCCCTCGGCCCCCGAAGCGGAGGCACCACTCTCCTGTGGCCTGCTGAATTCTTGCTTGCCGAGGCGGTCTTGGACCCCTCGGCGTACGGGAGCTCCCCCAAGCCTCTCAAGTGCAGAGGTCCGGGGTTTCTCCTTCATCATGGGGCGCTTGTCCCTGGATTGAGCCTCCTGGGAGGCGGTATCCTGCGCTACGACCCCCTCGCGGTTGCCAATCCCCGGGGGAGGATTGTTGAACAGAGGGGGGAGTGGTGGCAATTGAATAACATTTCCTCCAGCGTAGGGCTGGAGGGGTGTCTGAGAGGCGAGGGCCCCGGAATTGAGAGCCATGTTTTGAACAAAGGCCGCAAAGGCAGCCTGAAGATCGATGGCCGGGGCCGGAGGGGGAACTTGGTTCTCACTCCGATCCCTCCTTCGATTATCAAGGCCAATGCGGGCATCGGGGGCGTTCTTCTGTAGCTGCTGACGGAGGTCAGCGGTAGCCTGCTCCAATTCGAGGATGATACCACCCTCGGGTACTAAGAGCCTGTTGGAGGCCTCAGCCCCGTTAGTCTCGCCGGGGGCTATGTGGTTCTCCTCAAGGGTTTTGGATTGGGCACGGGTGGTTCTTCCCATTTTTGGTGAGTGTTTTGTGTTTGGTAGAGGGGGAGGGTTTCTTACTTGATAGTTCAGACCTCTCAACGAGAGCACCAAATGATGGATAGTCTACCCGGGGGGTATCTTATCCGAGGGGTTATTGCGGGAACAACTAGAGAGAAGTCAGAGTAAATAGGAGGAGAGAGAGTCGATTTTATTAAATGAACTCAGCGTGTGGAGTTGGGATGTAGATCATGTTTTACAAGGAGAAATGGGCTGCTATTTATAGCAGCAATAAATGCGATGAGAGGACACGTGTCAGTAATCCAACGGTCGAAGGGTCACATCAGCCTGGTGGCACCGGCAGTGGTACGTCAACCGCATTGAATGCGGTTGGCGGATGCGACGTGGCATTAAATGCGGTGGTTGGCTGTCTCTAAAAGGAATCTTCGATGATTGAGCTTGTTCAGCCGAAGGCTCCTTGTTCAGCCGAAGGCTCCTTGTGTAGCCGAGGGCTCCTTGTGTAGCCGAGGGCTTCCCCTGGTGCCGAGGGCATGAGAATGCCGAAGGCTCATGCCCTCGCCCGTTTTCTCCCAGCAGCTTCTTATGCCAGAGGAGGCTATCCTGTGAGTTTTGGAGCCTTCGGCCAAGGAGGCCGAAGGCACCCCAGTGTGCATTCTGGGCTACTTTGAGGCTTGGGCCGTTGTATTTGGGCCTGAGTTGTTTCCTGAGCTCAATGGACTTGTGTAGGAGAAATAGGAGTCTATGGGCCGGGGGTTCCTGGGCCATATACTCCATCACTTATATAAGCTTTAAATTATAAAAAAATGTTCTTGGTCCATTTTTTTACAATATTAAATTGTGATAGTAAATCAATATTCTCAAACCTTATTTTTATCCAACTCCAGGCGAAAATCTAAAATAGGCTCTTACACATTCGTAAAAAGGAAAAAGAAACGCTCATTTACCTCCATCCTTTTACCCCCAATTACTTTCCTTTTTCCATGTGCACAATATACCCCTTGTTTGCCCAACACACTTCTTCCACATTCACGAAGCAGACAAACCACCATTGTCTCTCGAAGGCGCGTTTCAATCAACTGCATCCTTCACCAGTCAACTGCACCATTCTAATTAGTATCTCTATTCTGTCCTTTCCTTAATCTGACTAATTTCTAATAATCTTGATCTTTTACAAACACGACTTAATTTTTTTGTCGTACAGACAAAAAAACTTAACTTACATAAACATGTGTAAAAGTTTTTTTCGTTCTTCAATACCCATAGTAGAAATAGAATTACAAAACTCGGCCCGAGGGGTAGCAAGGGTGGGGGCCGCTGGCCAAAAAAATAAAACCTTTTGGGCCCCTAAATCAGCCTAATTTAAAGTTTATTAAGTCCAATTGAACAAAAGCCCAAAATTAACAAAAGTGTAGTACTTTGACTTCAGGAAGCCAAGTAGACAAAATTGGATCTAACTCATCGACATCTAGTACTACGTATCTGTCTACTTGAACGGCCGAAGTGTCCAACGCCCGGCTAAGTTGCCGACTCACTTCACGGCGTCTCCCGCCGGCCAGCTCCAGGACGCAGCACGTTGTCTCCTTCTCGCCTCACGCCCGTCACCCGGTCGCCTGCACTCCGCCATTTACCGGCCCTTCGGTGGTTCGGCCAATCCGCCCTTCTCAATAGTCACCTTCCGACCTTCCGTAGTCCCGGTATTCCTCCATCATTCTCGTTATCTATATTGATTAGTTCCGGTATTTTCCCAATTGATCCCCTAATTTATGCCAAACTTCTATCCCTTTCATATTTAGACCTAGGTGGTGCATGTCTATTTCGGTTTCTCTATACGGCGGCTTGAGCACAGTTAAAGCTTGAGTCTTGAATTCAAAATAATCTACATGGGTAATCTCTAGAAGATATCATTATTTAAAATTTAATTAATATTCATGCATGGACAATCTCTTTTCAATCAAAGGTTCTAAATGGAGGGTTTACACTGCCACACGTCTATTACTCTGCTTACATATAATGAAAGGTACTAACTGTAGTAATTAACTACTATAGTATCTATAACAATATTAATCTAATTCATATGTAATATACGTTGTATGTAATATATATATATATATATATATGTAATATGAAATCATGTTAAAGTGTTTTAATGCTTAATACTTCGTAGATTTTTTGTAAATCATAGATATATCTATTCTAAGACATTATTTTATAATTATACATGTTTTATGGAGCTGAGATTAAAAATGAGTTGTTATAGCTCTAATTTGAAGTGTATTCACAGAGTTCAATCTTTACTGTTTGAACTTGTAAACATCTCATTTTGTTACAATTTATAATCACCCATACATACATTTTTACACACCACAGTACCCATATATCTATATAACACTAAATTGAACTATATGTCTCTTGAAATAATAGAATTCAATCTTCACGGTTTGAGCTTGTAACTTCAAATGTTGGTAAAGTTTATAATCGGCAATAACATGTACAGTTTAAGCTGCATTGTATCAGCTTAAAACATAGATTCCACAAAAAGTAACCTGTCAACAATGTGTGATTCTGCATAAATCAATTTAGTGTTTTACCTTTATCACTGATGATATGCACAACTCTTTTTCTCATGTATTGTTCACTCTCTGTAAGTGTCACCATTTGATCTTTCCCCCCTAGCAGATCTGCCAAACGATGGAGTTGCTTAAGATATGCAAAATAAGCTACTTTCAATGAGTAGAAGGTATAAATCCCTCAACCATCTAAAGCTTAAACAGTAATTTACACAAAGCTCCAAATTAAACTATTTGAAATATTTATGTTTTTAAGAATTGAACCTATACTATTATATTTAAGAAAACATATCTACGGTTTGAAACATGCATCCACTTCATTTTAATAACCTAAATTCTACTTTTCACAGTTATTTTCCAAAAAAATGTCTATTAGCATTTATTAGCGAAAGTGACTTTCCATTATTTCTTAAATATATCTAGCGTGCAATTTGTGTTTTATATTCATACACATGCATTATTATTTTTACTTTTTATGCAATTATAATTACATAAAAAGTTTCCTTTTTACCCTTGGTTACTCGCTTCTTACAGACCTATACTTATATTATATACTCAAAAAGTGAATCTATATTTCTTCTCTCAAAAGATGCCTGAAAGTGAATCTGTGTTTTTTAATTGAAAGCTAATAGAAACCTATATACCTACATACATCAAACAAAAACTATAGATTTAAACATGCATCCTTTTCATTTTAATAATACTAAATTTTACTTTTCATAGGTAATAGTTGTAATAAATGTCTTTTTTATCCTTTCGAAAAAGACTCATTATCATTCACTTGAGCATAGCGACTTGCCACTTTTTCTTAAACATTTTAAATCCAATCTGTGTTGCTTATACTTGCAAACAATATTATTTCAAGTTGCTTACCCGCTTCATACAGAACTAATTCTGATATTACAAATACATACCTATTTTTAAGCATACAAATCTTGGATACAATCATGCCTTCTCATAACACTTACTTGATAATGACACATTGACAGTTCTCCATCTTGAAGTAGCTTAAAGTAGCTTGATGAAGGTTCCGTGTGCTCTTTGCTCGTTATATATACTACTCCGTATATACATATATATGGTCTTATACTCTTATCCTGCACCAAGACAATAAATACCGAGTATGTGGTATTGGTAATTTCAATAGTCATTTTGAAGATCACTCCAATTTATTACGGAGTATTATTCTCTTTTGTAAAAATTGTGTTTTAGTGGGATTCTATAAGTCACTTCAATTATTATTCTACAAATTGTACTCCGTATATACTATATAGTTGGGAATTTAAAAAGTTACTTCAATTATTGCTCTAGCATTTATTATTCCTCTACTCAATAAAGCTTTTTTAGTATTCTGTGCGGTTGTCTTCTAATACCTTTTAGGAGTGCTAACGTAGAATTGCTTTAAAGATGGTGCACTATCCCGCCCAAAATCCCGCCAAAACTCCCCCACACTTTTCTGTTTTACTATATAATATAGATTTCTGCCTCACCCAGTCACGTACCCCGCCCCAGCCCCGCGCCCCACCCGCTTTGCGGCCTGGTAGTTCTTCTCACTTCTCAGCTTCTCGGAGTTTTGGCTGCCATCTGCAGTTCAGCTCATCGGCTCAACAACCCCAGCGGCCTAGTAGGTTAGTTAAGTGGTATTCTTTATTTTTTATTTTGAATTACGTACATAGCTAATATCTTAAAAATTGCTATCTTGATTTTTCAATGTTCTGTTTGAGTGCTTAATTGTTTTTGTTTTTAAGTGTTTCGCTAATGTGAATTTAACCATGTCAATATGTTTTACGATTGGTGAATCATTTGTCATACTCCGTATTCTAATTTCATTTGTGAAATTGAGAATTAGGATGGTCAATTTCTTAACATATTAATAAAACATACGTAGTACTACGTATGTGATTGAAAATAGTACTCTATATACTGATTATTTTATTAGTTTTTATCAATTTAAGCAGGTATGACTACCAAATGTACTTCAAAAAAGGCAAAAATAATATTGCTTCGTTTTGAAGCCCGCAAGTACACAAAACGGACAAGAGTTAAATAAAAACTTCATTGAAATTCCAAATATTTCAGCCGCTCTAAAAAAATGAAAAATCATTGCATTCGTTTTTTAAACCTACTACAATATAAATTTGATGAATTTTAATCATTTTATTCGAACTATATACTAGTTTAAATTTTGACATAGCGTTTTTTTAGTTTACCTCCGGTCCACCCTGAATGTTGGTTATGGCTCCGCCCCTTAAGATGGTGTTTCCTGTTTCACATTTCAGCACGCCTCCTACACTTCCGTGCAACATAGATGGCATTATTGTATTACTCCCTCCGCCCCCTAATATTGGGACGGAAGAGAATGAGGTAGTTTTTAAGAAAAGTAGAATTATGTGGTTCATACTGACTTAATGAGTTGATAAAGTGAGAATAAAGTAAGAATGAATTAGAGCCACACAAATGTTACCAATATGGTATGAGACAATAATAGGGGACATCCAAAAATGAAAAAATGGGACAATTAAGGGGGACGGAGGGAGTATTATTTTTAAAAGAAAACCAATTATTTACTTGCACACTTAAATCAAATTCCATTGTAGTTACATATGTAAAATTGAAAGCACCAGTTTCGCGAGCCAGCAATATTAATCTTAATAATCTAGATTTTTTGAATTTACAGTTTAGATTAAACAATTAGCAATGAGATGCCAATGCATTATTATTTGCGGTCAACTATGTTCAAGAAAGGTTAGTGGATTACTAATATTAAGCGTCCAGCATGAGACGCTTGAAGAGATTGATTTTGAAGCTATGATTGACGATTTTGCTTCACAATCTTGTATGAAAGATGTTTTTAAATTTTACATTTATGTTTTAGCTTTAATTGTTATTTGTGGTGCTATTTTTATTTATATATGCAACTTATCAGATGAAAGGTATTACTATTATTATATCTTTTAACATAGTTTTATCATATTCAATACTATGACAAAGTATGAAATATAAAAAAATTGAGAAAAAGTCAAAGAGTTTTGCTCTGTCCTGACAAACAGGAAGGCCCTGTCTCAGTCAACAAATTCTGGAAGAGTAATCGGTTCCTGAGCCTATCATGTTAATTCGGAGTATTAATTTACCTATTGTAGTGTTTTGAAAATAATCTGAGTGGTTTCCTTTGATTTAGTTTGTGTTTTTTTATTTATTTGTCCCGACTGCACCACCGTGACATTGTAATTTCTGCTGTAGGTTTTCATTTGCCAATCCTGAAACCATAAAAGCTGCCTTGAAAACCTATTTGGAAGAACGATTTAGAAACATACAATAAAGCTTCTAATGGAAAGCAGCAATGGAAGTACAACTGGAGGCAGAGAGTGGATGGCTGAGGATGCCATTGCTGGAAATGCAGAGGCGGTCCGTGCTCTTCGGGAACTCATTATGTATCCACTCCTGTATTCTCAAGAGTCTCAAAAGATTGGCCTCAAAGTAATTTGGATACAAATGTTTTTGTATAGTTCCCCTCACTAATAATATTGATAGACTTGTTTATTTGTGGGTATCTTTCATTGTCTTCTTATAGTGGCCTCGTGGCTTGTTGCTCTATGGTCCACCTGGTACTGGAAAGGTAGATACACATTTATTCTCTTGGCTATCTATCTCTTAGCTTGATCACCATTTGCATTGTGAGAAAAAGGGATCTATTTCTCAAATATTGTTCCAATAATGTATTACTGGATTTGCAGACAAGTTTGGTTAGAGCAGTTGTTCAAGAATGTGGAGCACATTTGACTGTTATTAGGTACTACATATTGTAATGTTTTATGTGTGTCATGTTTGGTTTTTTAGATCTATACATATAGAGCTATCCCCTAGCAAGCTTTATTTTCTATTTTTAAGCAGATGAGAGACTAAGTACTCATTCCTCCCCAGAATAGAGTCGTGTAATTCGTGTTTAAAATAATGATCCTAGTATTACAATGGTGACTTTTTTCGGGACTAAGGTAGTGTTATGGGCACATTTTAGTGATAGAATCATAGAAATAAAATGTACATTTTGGAGTTAATGAAATGTTTCATTGCTTATCATGATGTTAAAGTGGAGATATTTATGCTAAAACGTTACATAGCTTATGAAGAAACTTGACACACATTAGTTGCTTTGGGAGATATCAAGAAAATATTTGTGGGTCATATGTGAATGCCTTGTCTCTTTTCCCATATGAGAAGCTGTGATAAATATATGGGCATGAATCCCAAATGTCATTAATTTTGTGGTGCATCTGTAGCCCACACAGTGTCCATAGAGCACATACTGGAGAAAGCGAGAGAGTTTTGCGAGAAGCATTTGCAAAAGCATCGTCTCATGCAAACCTTGGGAAGCCATCTGTTATCTTTATAGACGAAATTGATGTACTATGCCCTCGTCGTGATTCTAGGTAATCATTCCAGTTAATACACTTTCCAGGGCCATGAGTTTTAACTTTATCTCAAACTTGTATCACTTAATGCTTTCTTAATGTATTATTGCCCATCGTTTGAAATTGCACAATGAGGTTACACAATAGGTAATGCTAAGAAACCGCCTCAAGCTTGCAAAACGCAATTTCAAACATTGTCATTGCCTGAGTAGTATGGAAATCGGAAATATGGTTTCTAAAAAAATACATGACACAAAATATGGGAAAAACACACTAATTTTAAAAAACATGAGGACATATGTATAAATATTTTTATATATGTATACATGTTTTTTCGTTTATATATATGCACATTATTTCATATAATTTTGTTTGATAACCATTAGTAACTAAAGACTATGTATTCAAGTTTATAAACTATTACCCCCTCTGTCCCGCTAATATTGTCCCATTTTACCTTTTTCGGGAAATCCCACTTAAATTGTCCCATACCAAATTTGGTGAAGTTTGTGTGACTCTAAATCATTCTTACTTTATTCTTTTGCTAGGAAGAAATCTTATAAAAATTCACCAGAGTTTTGGAAAGGCACTATTTTCCGTCAATGGATCCCATCAAAAAGAAAAATACTTGGAAATCCAAAATTTCCTAAACGTTATTATTTTGGGAAACAAGCTTTCCAATTTTTCTTAATTATTGAAACACCCCTCAAACGGGAATTTGAAGTTCTGGAGTTTTTGATACGCTTTCCAGTTTGCGGAGCGGGGAGGCATGAGCCGTTGGAAGTTTCCGTGCTTCATAGATTATTGCACTTGCACATAATACTTTCATATTCATATTTCATTCAACATACTTGGTGAGTTTGCTATCGCAGAAGAGAACAAGATGTACGTGTAGCTTCTCAGCTCTTTATGTTGATGGACTCTAATAAGTCCGTTTCAACATCTGGATTACATGTTGTTGTAGTGGCATCAACTAATAGGTGGGTTCTACTGATGTTTCAGGGAAGTAACTTTTTGGTTTCCATTTTTTCTTGTGTTGTATTCAAATAAAGTACAAAGAGGTCATTTTGGTTATTTTTATTTACTTTTAAGTTCCATATATTAGTAAATGCGATTTACTCTTGACGGAGAAACCCTTTTTTCCATCATTCTCTCAAGTAACCTGTAATGGCAATTTGGCAAATCAAACCCCCCGATACTATTCCAATTTAGGATATTTTTTGACATGTGGATTGCAAAAGAAAGCATTATTATTCTATCTTTTATTATTGAAGGTCAATAGTAATTTGGTGGTGTTGCTTTCAAGGGTATCACCTATTTTGTTATTTTACAATCACTATAAATTATTGATATGGAATAAACCCGTACTCATAGAAATCCAACCTTTATATGTTTATATTATTTTAACTACAAAGATGTTGATATGCCATGAACTCATACCCAAAGAAATACAACTTTAATATGTTTTATTCATGGCAGGCAGGGAGGGTGGGATTACTAAAGTTTTTCTCTCTATGGTGAGGGATAAATAGTCGCTTTTTGAATCGAACAAACTGTTGATTTTTACAACCATACTGTAGTGTCTGAGCTAATAATATACACCATTTTTAATTTACAACCATACATCCGTTTTTTATTTTAATAAATCAGTAAGTTTTTTTTGTCACTGTGGTGAAGGATAAACAATCTCTTTTTGAATAAAAAAACTGTTAAGTTTTTCAACCATACTATGATATCTGAATCAAATTACGCCATCTGTAATTGGTATACTGTCTTTTAAATGTTTATTTTTAATACCATATAGATTGTTGGTTGCAAGTCTTTTAAGATGAATGTTTTCTGCGATTAATGTTCAGGGTTGACACACTCGACCCGGCTCTAAGAAGATCTGGGCGTTTTGATGCTGAGATTGAAGTCACAACCCCTAATGAAGATGAACGTTTTCATATCCTCAATGTATGGTGCTCATCATGGAGTATTTATTATTATTTGACGAAATTCACAAGAATAATCCCTACTTTTATGGATTCTACAATAATAATCCCGACCAAGGTAGTCAAAGTCGTGAGGCGCACTCAAGGCGATAGGGTATTCCCAGCGCCTGAGGCGCAAGGCGCAAAAAAGCGCTCGCCTGACTCGGGTGAAGCGCACTACTTAGATAAAATCACATATACTGTTCTATAATTACCAAATATGATGTATGTAACATCATATTGAACCAAATGCATAAAAAAGCTAGGATTCATCAAAATAAAGTCATGCAACAACAACAACAACATCCAAGCCTTAGTCCCAAAAGATATCACCACCAAAAGGAAGAGTAAGAAAATAAAGATAAAAAGATAAGCTATTATGGAAAAGATAATATAAAAAGAGATGAATATACCCAAAAATGATAAAATAAAAAGCATAAAAATAATGTTTATATATATAAGCAAAAAAGGATAAAAAACAAACAAGAAAAAAGAAAAAAGACAAAAAAAAAAAAGAAAAAAAAAGAAAAAAAAAGGAAAAAAAGAGGGGAAAAGATAATACGATATCACTCATCCACACGAATACCCGCCCTCCACTTTGCTCAAAATAAAGTCATGATTCACAAAAATTAGGATCTTTTTTGTTAGCCAAGTAATTGCGTTTCCAAGCTGGGTCTTTTTTGTAGAGTTTTCACTTTCAGCGCCACCTGCAGCACTTGTTCCACCTTCCATATCCTGGAAAAGTACAAAGCTGGAATTATTTAATAATTAATACACTGGAAAACATATTTGGAAAACCACAAAGTAGAGTACATATATAATATATTTATGGGCCAAACACTCGAATATGGGTGCTCAATAATGGAAAAACAGAAAGCTGGTTGTGTGTTTATCATGTTCTTTTAGTTTTCCATCTGTGTTTGTCATCTTGTGTGTTGTAAAAGGTGGTTATCAACTTTGAAAAACATGTTATACTCAGCCCTTTGTTAACAGCCATGTTTTACTCTAGTTGGGTCAAACAGAGTAATATCTTTAATATTTATAAAACACAAGAGTGACAGAACTGAGTAATGCATTTAAAGTTAAGAACTTAATATACTCTGAAAGATTATAGAGTAATATCTTTACAAAACCACAAAGCAGAGCACATATGAGTATTATATACATACTAATATACTAATACGTAGTATTATTACTTTATTACACATTTACGCTAATATTTAGACACTAGTGTAATATGAGTATTTGGATGAAGAGGACTGCATGAAAAAGAAAACATACCTTGTTTAGTGCTGAGAGGGAGAGCTGAGTTTGCTTGAGATGATGATGAAAGCTTAAAGAACTGGCTGGTGTAGAGCAGCTTCAAGTGAGGAGAGTGAGGATGGCTAGCGATGATTGCAGTAGTGTCTTGCGCAAGTTTTACGTGTTTACTTATATAGACTCTTGGTTTTACGTCGGTTTTACTGTTTTTACCCAAATATTTTCATGGGTTTAGTGTTATTAAAGATATGGGCTAATTGTATTTGAAAGTTTAAAACAAAAAAAGGCTGTCAGCCCTTTTCCAGCTCAGGCGACCCAGGCGTGCGACTTGCAGCGCTTGATGCGCTTCATGCGCCTTACCCAGGTACGTGCGCTTCACCTATTTCCAAGCGCTGGGGGGTATGCTCGCTGCGCCTTGTGCGCTTGAGCGCTGAGGCGAGCGCTTTTGACAACCTTGATCCCGACTAAGAGTGTCCATACAAATAATTGTACTAGCAATAGTGTCGACAAGAATAAATTGGAATGAATTCAAACTAATGTCTTTTTAATACTCAGTCCCTACATTTATTTCCCCATTCTCCACTCTCCGTCTCGGTTAACACTTTTATGTTCCAACCTAGGGAGAACCACATATGGCGGGAATGGTGTTGATATCAAACATGTTTAGTTTGAATTATCCCCGAGAAGAAGAGCGGGGAAGAGAAAAGTGGGAGTAAAGGTTGAAAGTATTAAACTAGCATTAATTTAAATTCACCCCAATTTATTCTTATGAATACCATAGCTAGTTCGGATTATTTTTGTGGACACTTTGAGTAGGGATTATTATTATAGAATCCATAAACGTATGGATTATTCTTATGAACTTCACCTTATTATTTAGGAGGCACCTGCTTTTTATTTTGTCAAAATTCTGAGAAAATATATTAATACAAGAAACATACAAAGGTCAAAGAAAAGATACAACAACACAAAATCTTGTAAAGAAAACAAAAAATGAAGAGGACAGAAGCTATAAATTTCACGAGAATACACATAATATGTCCAGCTTGTGATTAATACTCGACAAAAAGGATCGATGGGTAAAGAGCAAAATATATCTTGTAGGACTTATTGAAACTGGGCTGTCAAGTCTAATAAATCCTCAACAACAATAACAATTTTTTATGTTAAAGTTTTATGGAGATTTTGTTGAGTGATGGTGTATTTTATGTTGACACATTGCAGCTTTACACTAAGAAGCTTCCATTGGACCCCAGTGTTGACCTGCAGTCAATCGCTGCCTCTTGTAATGGCTATGTTGGGGCAGATTTAGAAGCTTTATGCCGCGAAGCTACTATGTCTGCTGTCAGACAATCTTCAGAATTAGATCAAGTAGATTGCTCTTGGAACATAACAGTGGATGACTGGAGGCATGCCAAATCTATTGTTGGTCCTAGTATAACAAGAGGTGTAGTTGTGGAAATTCCAAAGGTTTCTTGGGAGGATATTGGAGGACTACAAGGCATAAAGGTTTGTACCTGTTAGCTTACTCGGACCCTGTTTGTTAAAGTTGATAGGCTTATTCTGTATATTCTCCTTTCAGCGGAATAGTCAGAATAAGTAGCCTTTGACATACGTATTTGGCTGAAATCGATTTGTATGTGCCTTTCCTTTTAGAAAGTTCAGCATATATGGTCTAACAACCCTCACCAAACACTCTCTCGGGCTAAATATCTTTATATATAACTTTTTTATTTGATAAATGGAACAGAAAAAGCTACAGCAAGCTGTAGAGTGGCCGTTAAGGCATTCTGAAGCATTTGCGCAGTTGGGAGTATCACCTCTTCATGGCATCCTTCTTCATGGACCTCCAGGGTGCTCTAAAACCACCCTTGCAAAAGCTGCTGCTCATGCTGCACAGGCTTCCTTTTTTTCGTTGAGGTATGTGATAAGAAACCTTACTTTTTATGTTCTTTATGAGAATTGCAACTTTTTTCATATTATTTTAATGATAATGCACCAGTGGTGCAGAATTGTATTCAATGTATGTCGGTGAAGGTGAAGCTTTGTTGCGCAATACATTTCGAAGAGCTCGACTTGCAGCACCAAGCATTATTTTCTTTGATGAAGCTGATGTCATTGCTGCCAAACGGTAATTTGCGCAGGATAAAAAGTTCCCCTTATGTAAATGTGACTTAATTGAGCTTCAATTTCTAGGAATTAGTTGCTTACTTCCAGTGATGACTAGGAGAAACCAATGTTCTGAGATTTGCTTAGGCAGTAGCCAGGCATTTGAGTGATGCTTAGCTTGCCTAGTGTGCCTAAACGAGCAGCTAACCTATGTAAGAGCACTCTGGCTTCCTAATCTGCTTAGAAATGAATTGCTCAAGAGGCGTCTGCATGTCTAACTAGGCCGATTATTAAAACACTGTGATAAAACACTGCAAATGTGTACACCAGGATAAATATTTCTTCATCCCAAAAAAGTTTCTTTCGAACTCTTTTTGTCTCCCAAAAAGAGTAACTTAGACCAAACAAAGAAAATCGTTCATGTAATTTTTAAAAAATAATGTTACATAAAGTTACATATGGTAATATGTTAAATTTAGTTTAAATAAAAAATAAATAGACAACTATAAATATTATTCACGATTTATGAGTACCTAAGTAAAATTAAAAAGTTCTGCATTAACCTTCAGGGGTTGTTCATGTTTCAACTAGTTTGAATCCAGGAACAAAATGTTCTCTGGGGTTACATGTTTGGATCCTCTTGGAGGTCACTGCCAAAAGGTCCGCGGTACCCACCCTGTAAATAAAAGTAATGCATTGTTCGAACATGACTTGTTTATTTATTTATTTAGTTAGTTATTTAGCATGCATATGCAAATTTTAGGGCCTGTTTACTAACAGAGATATTTTCCAGTTTTCTACTTCTGTTTTCATATTCCAGTTTTTCTATCTCCAATTTTCTGTTTTCATTTTTTACTTTCTCATTTTCAAATCCGAAAACATGTTCATCAAATTCTGATCATCCAGAAGACCGAAAGTGTGGTCTCATTCCGAAATCAAACCTAGTACAACCCAAGTAGGGTACCAGGTCCCATATAGGATAGTCGGGACCAAAACCGATCGGTCTCGGTCGATCTCAACGGTTAGTGTGACAAATTCTTTTCTCATTTCCCTATTGGTTGAAACTCAATGCTCTATTCAAACTCTTCACTTAAAAAATGAATTTTAAAAAAACCGAGACTGCCGGGTCATTGACCGGCCTGGACAGGGACCGTCGGGTCATTGATCTGACCGGAAAAGGATCGTTGGGTCATTGATCGGACTGGACAGGGACCATCGGGGCGTGGACCGGGCCGAAATGCGGCCGCAGGGGTGTGGACCGCACCCGACAAGGACCATCGGGTCGTGGACTGAACCGAACAGAGACCGTCGGGTCGTCGCCCGGATTGGACCGGGATCGTCGGGTCTTCGACCGGATCGGACCGGGATCATCGGGTCTTCGACCGGATCGGACCGGGATCGTCGGGTCTTCGACCGGATCGGACCAGGATAGTCGGTTCTTCGACTGGATGACTGGATCGGACTGGGATCGTCAGGTCTTTGACCGGATCGGACCGGGATCGTCGGGGCTTCGACCGGATCAGACCGGGATCGTCGGGCCTTCGACCAGATCGGACCGGGATCGTCGGGTCTTCGACTGGATCGGACCGGGATTGTCGGGTCTTCGACCGGATTGGACCGGGAATCCGGGATCGTCGGGTCTTCGACCGGATCAGACTGGGATTGTCGGGTCTTCGACCGGATCAGACCGGGATCGTCGGGTCTTCGACCAGACCAGACCGGGATTGCTCGGCCGTCGACCAGACCGGACCGGGATTGCTTGGCCGTCGACCGGACCGGACCGGGATTGCTCGGCCGTCGACCGGACCGGACAGGGATCGTCGGGTCAATAACCGAACCGGACCAGACAGGGACCGTCGGGTCAATAACCGAACCGGACCAGACAGGGACCGTCGGGTCAATAACCGAACCGGACCGCCGGGTCGTTTACCGGACCAAATAGGGACCGTAGGGTCGTTGACCGGAATGGAACCGATACCGGAGCAGGACCGGATCCACCACTAGGCCTAAATATGCAAATTCATTGCAGCGGCACTGTAGCATTTGCGTTTTTCAAATTTGGAAAACTAGTAAAAATCACTTCTCCAATTCATTAAGGAAAAAGAGAAACATATCTCATTTTTTCCGTTTTGGTAAATGCATTTTTCTGTTTTCCTTTCTCCAGTTTCCAGCAATTTTCTTTGGTAAACACGTTTTCTGTTTTCCAGTTTTCTAGTTTTCTGGAAAATTGGAAAATATCTTTGTTAGTAAACATGCCCTTAATATTCTTCTCTACTTCCTAGTATAAATTATTATCAGACTGGAAATGACATGCGTTATTAAATTTTTATCCTATATTTGTTTATTTTTCTATCTACTCTTGTAGTGGTGGAAGTTCTAGCAGAAGCAGCCTTGTTGGGGAGAGACTTCTGTCTACTCTTTTGACTGAAATGGATGGCCTGGAGCAAATGAAGGTGATCAGAAATCCCTTTATTGTTCTTTATTTGCCAAAGTAATGCAACCTAAACACACCTTCCTTTCAATCCATCAGGGGATTCTTGTTTTAACTGCAACCAATCGCCCTCAGGCAATTGATGCTGCACTTATGCGACCTGGGCGCTTCGATCTGGTATCAGTTATTTCATAGTTTACTTGCGCTTTGATCTGGTATCAGTTATTTCATAGTTTACTTGCACTCTTGAGCACATATATTCTGTGGGAAAATAATACCAAGTACTCAATATTAAGGAAAGTTGCACATTAGTTTAGATACAATGTATCCTTGGTTAAAGTTGCATTCGCACCCATAAATATTAGGTTATATACGGGCATTCTCAGCATTCAGTATTGCTGTGAATGCTGCTCATAAACCTTGATTCTAATCCACAAGTTTATCTCATTGATAACAATGGAAAGACTAAATGTACAAAGTGCTGTTTTAGGCTGCGGCCACTCTTTTCAGCGTATCATCCTTGTAGGCAATTTTTTTCTAAACATTAATTTATTTGATTCCGCACATTTTGGTGAGCTAGGGTTTCATGTAATTTTCGGCTTGGGTTTGGTGAAGTTCAAGTTGGGTGCTTTTTTTTTACGGAGTCCATTATTCTTTCATATTGCCAATAAAATATGTTCAAAGTATTGCTTCCCCATATTTCAGTAACTTCATCAATATATCAGCCGCAACTTAGTTACTTCAACCAAATCCACCCTTACCAGATGAGCTAAAAATCCAAATAGCATATCCCAGATTAGATGATGTCAAACAATCTAATAGAAGAGCTTTAGTGAACTTTCGCGCAAGAGTTTTAGCTGATTTTTCTTGAATACTTCTAGACATAACTCTCTTGCTTTTATCTTACACAGTAATAACTGCATATATCTTCAGGTTCTCTATGTGCCGCCACCAGATTTAGAAGCTCGATGTGAGATCCTTCGTGTGCATACACGTAACATGAAGTTAGATGCCGATGTTGACATTAGGCAAGTAGCTGAGAATACGGATCTCTACACAGGGGCAGAGTTGGAAGGGCTGTGCAGAGAAGCCGGAATTGTTGCTTTAAGAGAAGATATTTCAGCCACTGTTGTGTGTGATCGACACTTCCAAACCGTCAGGCAGTCACTAAAGCCAGCGCTCACCCAGGGAGAAATTGAATCATATTCCTCCTTTATGAAGAAGGAGAAGGAGAAGAACCCATCTCTCTGTTCTTCTAGTACACTTGAATCCTCCAGCTACAATCAGAGCAGCAAGACAAGTCGGCATCTTTTGATGAGTCCTGCTCTTAGAATCTGTATTTTTAGTGTAGTTTTGTATGTTGCTGCAATTTATGCGTTCACACCGGCCGTTCTATTGTCTAAAGAACTAAGAAGTACTTAGAATTTGGTACTGGATCTATGCTCATTTTAAAATGCTACATCAATGCATACTACAAAAGTATCGTATTACATAAGATTTGCGTAGGAGTTGATTATGGATACTAGATCGAGCACATACCTGGATACTCTATTGCATGTTTCTAATATTCAATACAAGAGATTTGATGTTCAATGAAAATTTCTTGATGCTCAATAAAAAAAATTTATGATTTTCATATCAATGCTCATATGCGTTTTTCCTACCAATGTTAATGATCACATTAACATCACTATTTGTATTCATTCAAAATGAATACTACTTAAGATTTTCAGCCTTAATAATAAAATGATCCTTTTATATAATACAATTAGCTTTAACAACTTTTATGACATTCTAACTCTATTTTACTAATAATTCAAGATAGTAATTCAATATATACTTTTATGACATTCTAACTCTATTCACACTCATTTTCGTGTAAAATGAGCATATACGTACTACTAATGAGCATCTTTATAAACGTAATGTCTATTAGTGAATATTCACTTTTACAACCATTATAAAAGTGAACCAATGTTACTAATAATATAATAAACTATAGTAATTCAAACTTCCCAGCCATTTTATAACAATACATCTGTGCATGCATCCTCATTAATATGATATTAGGAGAACTCATGGTTGTTTTAAGACAATCAATGATAAATAAGACAATAATAATAAGCGAGGGAGCATCAATAACTATGACACATTAATTTGAAGCAAGAACAAACCATTGCACGTTCAATCTCAAATAACCCGGAGCGGTGGTGATGGCAGAAACTTCGAGAAGTTGTAAGCAGAGAAATATAGCTAGCAAGACCCTTCTTGATCACAAATGGTGATCAAACTTTTGGTTACAATAGTTAATTGTGTCCGTATAGCAATTTTAAAGGATTATTACCATTCAAACGCTTCAGTACTTGTCCATACATAGAGCCCAATTTTAAGGACATGCAGAGCTGAAAGAATAAGAAGAAGAAGATAAACTATATGGATGGTAATGGCAGGGGATGTTTTCATCACCAAAGATACCAGAATAAACGTCTGGTCTCTGTGTATTATATAACTATGGAAGTCTTGTCTGATATAGTCTGATCTGAGATTGAAAACAATACAAAAGAAAACATCTTTAATCAATTTTTTATAAATTGAGCCAAACCCAATCAAATCTATACCCATTAGTTTTCCGTGAATGTGGCCCTATCCATTCACGATCCCTACCTCTAAGTCTTCATATAGGGATACCATTCAATTTTAAAAGTAAGCAATAGAGTTTCTGATTTCTGATTTACTATCAATAATCTTCCTTATCGAGAAAGAGTGCTTTTCATTCTTGAAACTTTATGGAAATTCACTAAAAACTCTCTCAACTCTTCTTTATGCTAAAAGGGACCCAGGAGCGGAGGGTGGAGGCCTAGCCGCCTAGGGAGCCCTGGCACAGGGTAAATTTTTTATTTTTTGTATTATACTTCAAATATATATTAAAATATAATTTTTTAAATATATAATAGGGATGAGAGGTCTACGGTAATCGTCAATGGCTGTTTGTTGTCCAATTTAGGTCAAGCGAGTTATATTGCTTTGTCAAAGGTGATTAACTCAGAGTCTCGGCCAAGAGAGGATGGTTGCATGTGATCCTTTTGTTATCTTGTACCCCTGCTGAATGTTATTTTATTAATTTAAAGCACTTTGACGATAAAAAAATATATAATCTGGGGCTTAGTATATTAAAAGAATAACAAAAATATCAGCTGGCCGAATGGAAAAATAATCTGGGCCAGTGCCAGCCCATTGGGCAGACCAAATCAAAGAAAAATCTTCCCTTTCTCCCAACTAGTATTATACCCGTGCGATGCACGGGAAGTGTAATTCTCATATCAAAAGTAGGTTTCTGAATAATATGAATAATACATGTAATTTAATTTTAGTACAAAAGAACTCAAATTTCGTAATATAGTAATATGAATTGTAAATATACATCTAGCAAAAAAGAAATAAATAAAATATTTTCACAATAAAAGTTTTTTAAAAGATGAATGTTATAAATGCTTTACAAATTTCGAAAAACATCCTTCAATACAACATTGAACGTTATGGTGGTATTTTTTCCATATGTCACATATAAATATCATCAAACCACCGTCATACCGATTATTTTACAAAAAAATATTTATTTACGATGTCATGAAAATTTATTTCATGTAAAATACTCTGCAGTAAACATCTTTTTTAAAATCTTTTTAGGCTTTGTTTGCAAACAATTAATTTAAGTGCTTTTGGCTTTTTCTTAAGAAAACAGCAATTATTTTACCAAACAATACCAACTTTTACTTTCTCGGTTTTCGTGTAGAATCTACTTTTTACTTTTTCTATTACACAAAAAACACTTATTTTACCAAACACTACCAACTTTTACTACTAATCACTTTTTCCCAAAAAGTGCTTTTATTTAAGCACAATCACTTGCAAACAGAGCCTTAGTAGTTGACATGTCTAGAGAACAAAATCCCACAACCCAAACTCAACCCAAAACCCAAGTATAAAATACTTTCCCGAGCCCTAATCTCATCTATGCTGAATTGGCATAGCCTTCTCAACCTTCTCATCCCCAATGATCGGCGAGCATCATCACATTCATTGTTTGTCTCTCAGCCTTTTCGCCCTTACAAATCACATGTAAGCACTTTCGTCCTCTCTGATCATCAGTTACGACACTCGCACAAATCATAGCAGTGGTTAATATATGTGGTACCAATCAGTAAATTACTTTGAAATTGATATTTTTGAAATAGAAGCTTTTTAAAAACAAAATAGAAACTACAAAATAGAAACTAAACATTGTTATGTTTATTAAAATAATCAAGAATACCATATGTTGATTATTAAAACAATTACATTCACAGTATTGGTCTAGAAAAAATACCTTAAAAAAACCGTTGTTTTGTTTAACTGTGGAAAAAATATAACATGTGTGATTAAAATATAACCTCTTTAAAATTTGATTAAAGATGTTTTTCATAGGACTAATTTTTTTATATGATATCATTTGATATGGTAAATATCTATTCTATGTGAATTTATTATTGACTAAGTCTGATAAGGACCAATATACTCTGATCTGGTTTGATCAAATTCGAGATTGACACTGAAATCAGTCTACTATAATCCATAAAGAACTACGTAGTATTAGGCTATCTCATGAGACTTTTTTTATATGGAGTATACTTTTCAGCTAGATTTATAATTATCCTCATTATAGTTCCCGCATTATTAATTAAAAATGCATATTATTTCAAACTGACTATTTTATTTTAATATAGCTAGAAGCATATAAAATCTTAATGATGGATAGTCTACCCGGGGGGTATCTTATCCGAGGGGTTATTGCGGGAACAACTAGAGAGAAGTCAGAGTAAATAGGAGGAGAGAGAGTCGATTTTATTAAATGAACTCAGCGTGTGGAGTTGGGATGTAGATCATGTTTTACAAGGAGAAATGGGCTGCTATTTATAGCAGCAATAAATGCGATGAGAGGACACGTGTCAGTAATCCAACGGCCGAAGGGTCACATCAGCCTGGTGGCACCGGCAGTGGTACGTCAACCGCATTGAATGCGGTTGGCGGATGCGACGTGGCATTAAATGCGGTGGTTGGCTGTCTCTAAAAGGAATCTTCGATGATTGAGCTTGTTCAGCCGAAGGCTCCTTGTTCAGCCGAAGGCTCCTTGTGTAGCCGAGGGCTCCTTGTGTAGCCGAGGGCTTCCCCTGGTGCCGAAGGCATGAGAATGCCGAAGGCTCATGCCCTCGCCCGTTTTCTCCCAGCAGCTTCTTATGCCAGAGGAGGCTATCCTGTGAGTTTTGGAGCCTTCGGCCAAGGAGGCCGAAGGCACCCCAGTGTGCATTCTGGGCTACTTTGAGGCTTGGGCCGTTGTATTTGGGCCTGAGTTGTTTCCTGAGCTCAATGGACTTGTGTAGGAGAAATAGGAGTCTATGGGCCGGGGGTTCCTGGGCCATATACTCCATCAGGAGTCCCTCACTCCTTTTGCCGAAAGGTACTTGAGGGAAAAGGAGTAGATGTGTTGCTTCTTCTGAAGGCTTCATCATTTCGCTGGGTGCCTTTGCTGGAGAACTTGCCTTCTGCTGATCGCCGAAGGCTTCCCTCAGTTCGTCACATGTCGAGGGTTTTCTGAGGGAAGGTATTCATGATCTTCGCATGTTTGCCGGGGCCTCCCCTCAGTCCCTCACATGTCGAGGGCTTTCTGAGGAAAGCATAGATGTATTGCCTGCATGTGTTGTGACGAGGGCTGCTTCATTTCCGCAAGTGTGATTCCCGTGGGGTGTGTCCCAGTCCCCCACTCCTTTAGGCCGAAGGCGAGTTCGGGTTGAAGGAGTTATAATGTGTTATTGGGTTCCCCGAGGGGGTAGCCGAAAGCATATACCAGTATCTGCTCGAAGCCTCTCGCAGGTGGTGGCCGGGGGCTATCATCCAATATACGCGTCGAGGAGTGGCAACATTGACAAGCGAAGGCTCTTATTGCTGCTAGCTCGAAGGCGCTATGTTGGAATTCATTGGCTGAAGGCTGTGGTGAGTGATAGCCGGAGGCCATCCTTCGAGAGCACTCCGGTGTTTGTGAAATACAGCCGTTACGATATAGCCGTTGGAAGAGGGGTTGACGTGGCCGGCTATTGTTGGTCGAAGGTGGGCGGGAACCATCCATTGGTCGAACCGGCGGCCCGCAATGATGGGCTTTTCAAATCGAGGCCCATATTTCGGGGACATAAGCCTATAAATACCCCTTGCTAAATGCCATTTCCTCTTGTGCGTTTCTGAGTCATAGCGGAGCTCTGCCAATTTTTCTAGAGAGAGAAAGTAACCCCTTCGATCAAAACCAACCTTTGAGGTCAGTATTTCCTTAGCCCTTTGATTTTCTCAGCATACTTTGCCAGTCTCTTAGATTTAGTGTTTAGTTACCTTAGAGGTCTTCGGCCAGAATTTTCGAATAGCCCCCTTCTTTCGACATCTTCAACCCCTTCTAATCATGTCCTCTGAGAGTGATTCGCAAAACGTATCGGAGGAGGTCCCGGTTCAATCTGAGAGTCTTTCAGATGTGGAGTCCTCCAGCGGGCAGTCGTCATCAGCTGGTGATGACTTGGCAGTGGCCCAAGAGGTGCAGAGTACCCTTCGGG